GCTCAACGACACTCAACGTTAAAAACAATCAGGAAACGACAAATGCAGTTTTTTGGGAGCACCTGAATAGACATTAATGGTCTTGAACATCTAGCTCTCACTGGTAAAATTGAAGACAAACGAAGCAGGGGTATGCCCAGAGCAACTAACTTAGGGAACATAAACAAATGGGTAACAGGAAAAGATCAGGGAAACGTAGCTTTTTTAAAGAGCATTCAAGCAAAGGAATGAATGGAGAACCATGATCGCCAATGTCTGTCTCAGATCTGGCACTGGATTATGATGGTCTCTTCTTCTATATATCTCCCCCCTCCCCCCCCACACTACATAGATCACAGACATATATATACATGCATACGCACACACTATATTTAAGATATTAGGCAAAATGCTTTTAGCGGGTTTACAGGGAGAAAGAGGAAACTGGAAGAGCACAAAGTGAAAGGGAAAGCGCCAAAGCACCAACACGGAAAGAGGGATTGCAAAACAGAAGGATGGTGCGAATGGTCGCGAAAATTAGAGTTGGATGAAAATTACTGAAGTTATGATACAGTATAAACATCCTCAACAGCCACCTAATCAATAGCGGTCACCTGTACTAAAGGTCACTATTCCGCCCCACCCATGTGTATTTTTTTTATACCTTTAGCCTGTCCATCGCGGACATGTCCAACGCAGCCACGATCAGTCTTTTTCACAACAACTCGGCCTTAAAATCTGCTCAAACAGGTCACTGGTTACTAAAGATTTCTGATTTTTAACATTCGCGGACTTTATAAGGTCTAATAAGTGATCATAATTCAGACCCTGTCCTAGGGGCCATTTTTTCGGTGATCTTTATAGTGACCGTTATTGCCAAGATTGGTTGAACCTGTAGTTAGAAATAGCACATGAAAGAGGGGAGGATACGAAAGAGGGGAGAATACTTAATAGAGAAGAGAGTGCAGAAGAAAGTGAGAATCAGCAAAGAGAACGAAAGGGATGGGAATAGAATAGGGAAATGGTGAACTGAAAGAAAGGAGCACCGAAAGTGGGAATAAATTGTGGGCAAGAGAGAGAGAGAGAGAGAGAGAGAGAGAGAGAGAGAGAGAGAGAGAGAGAGAGAGAGAGAGAGAGAGAGAGAGAGGACACAGCAAACTTAACCATTGCTGGTTTCTCAAACGTTATCTACAGACATTATTGTGTGAGGTAAAAAAAAAAATTAGATTGCTCAGCACGGTGCGTTTATGCACAGATAATAGATCTACCCGAGCTCAACCAGACACACAGCCCCGATGTCGTAACACTGAATTCATCTAAGATTTTTGTGTTGCAACAGGTTTGCTTATTATAATCCTACCTCCTGTCTGTGACCATGGCAGGAGTGGAGTTTATTTATATCATGGACTCGTCGATGGAAGCAGACAGAATTAATAACTTCATTAGTGATAAGCCAACGAACACATTCACACAACAAGGCAGTGGGACATGGTGAACTGGCACCATAGCATTCACACTTACAAACCTTTTCTCTGTCTGTCTGTCTGTCTGTCTGTCTGTCTGTCTGTCTGTCTGTCTGTCTGTCTGTCTGTCTGTCTGTCTGTCTGTCTGTCTGTC